ATAATATTCAACGTTAAACTGGTACACAATTAAAAGCATTTTATTTAGACCTATCGTTGACCTTTAAAAAGTTGACGACTCTACATGAGGATGACGTTGTAACTTCGAAACATGTAGAGTCGTCAATTTTTTGAAGGCCATAGAAAGGCCTAAATAAAATGTTTTTAATTGTGTACCAGTTTAACGTTGAATATTATTTATTATTTTAACTTTATACAAAAGTGCCAAAATACTATAATTACCCATAGAATATTTGTTTGTTTGTTTGTAGTTAAGCACAAAGCTACACAAAGGGCTACCTGTGCTCTGTCCACCACGGGTATTGAAACCCGGTTTTTAGCGTTGTAGGTCCGCAGACATACCGCTGGCCTAAAATTAAGTCACCAATTCAGACTCACTTATTTCGAAGATATAGCTCATAATGTGTTACAAAATAATAACCCTACCAATTCAGACTCACTTATTTCGAAGATATAGCTCATAATGTGTTACAAAATAATAACCCTACGAGGAAAAAAATAAAACATTTCATATCTCCTAAATTCAGGAAATGGTATTTAGAAAACATTTTTAACAACGTTTTTAGCGATCCATAGTTATGAAGTGTCACATCTCGCGTAAAATTGGACCCTCCAGATTTGAAATCTACATAAATAAAAACGTAAATAATGTTGGTCTCGCTATTTGAACCCAAAAGATATTTTTATCAACAGGGATCAATGAACCATATTTTGTTGTGTGGTCTTGGCCCTCCTTTTGATTAACCTTGTGAATTAGGGAAAAAAAACTGAGTTATTAGTTGACTCTTCCGTCATCGGCTGTTACCAGGGGAGTGGGAAAAGATACACAACCGTTGTTATGGTATTCCCTATGTCAAACCGGATTACTGGTTAGATTGTCAGACATCGTGTCATACAATATATCAGAGCGAAATATTCCCCCAGATTAAGATTTTTCTAATTCCAGGTATTTGAAAATAAAGAATGCACTGTTTTTAGTGCTGCTTTATTAACTAACTTTTTTAAATTTCTATTTGGATTAGACTAACATGCATAGTTATTAAACATGAAGTAGAGAAAATATTGTTTTGGGAATTTTCTTTGAAGATGCTCTATGAAATAATTCGTAATACTTAAATCATTATCTCTTTCAAATGATATGTAGACGAGCTTCCACTCTCAATGATTAGCACCGTAAACTTATTGTGAAGCTACTTTCAAAATGTCAAAAGTAATTTAAGACTATTCACTATTCCTTTGATCATTAATCATGAGAATGTAATAATCATTATTGGAGACAGCTTGAATGAGTAATGAAAGAAACTTTATTACAAACGTACAACGTTTCGACAAGCTTATTCATCATCAGGTAGAGATGATGACATGAGCGTATTGAAATGTTGTACATTTGTAATAAAGTTTATTTTACTACTCATTCAAGCCGTCTCCAAACTTTATTTTATAAAATAAAAAATTGGGTTCCTCGTCATCAAATTTTAATAACCAATTCTTTGAAACAAATGACGCAAAAAGCATGAGGATATATAGTAATATTAAATGCCATTTTACACCTCAAAGGATTAATACTTTAGTGTTTTTACTAATGTGTGTTAAGTATAAAACTATTTAAAAAACGTAAAGAAATCTTGTAATTGTTCCTGTTATTTCAAAATTTAACATGTTTTTCATTTTTGCTAGGTACACTTCATGAGAAAGGAAACTTGGGGATCAACGAGTAGATTCTGATCATAAAATCCTCCTTGATTTACAAAGAATGAGAAGAAACTCACAATTTCATGACTGGAGAACAATAACTACTTTTGTGGATTTCTAAACTATACATCAGATAATCCATTTTCCCAAGTTTATTCGCCTATCTGAAGAAGATAGGATATATATTTTGAAATTACTTAAACATTCGATACTCACATTATCCTGCTGAGCCACCAATAATCACGGATCAGTTAAGTAATGTTGATGTATGCCCTTCTGCATAAGAATGACCTTATTAGATAACTATCAGAAGAACCATATAAAAATTTATGGAATAGTCTGGAACTTAGTAAGTGTGATTATGGTTGTGAGTGTGGATGCATCAACCATTAATGGAATGGTAAATCAGTGCGAAGAAATTACGATCCCCATGTGTAAGGAAATTGGTTACAATATAACCTCTATGCCTAACCAATTTTATCATCAAACTCAAAAGGAAGCAGGTTTAGAGGTTCATCAGTTTTGGCCATTGGTTGAGATTCGATGTTCCGAAGACTTGCGTTTTTTCCTTTGTTCCATGTACACACCTATCTGTATGCCAGATTATCAAGATTCCATTCCCGCATGTCGTTCTGTTTGTCAGAGGGCACGGTTTGGATGTGCTCCTATTATGAAACAATATGGGTTTGCGTGGCCTGAGAGAATGAATTGTGAAAATTTGCCTGAGTATGGGGATCCGAGAAACTTGTGTATGGATGAACGAGAGGGTGCTGGAGCTCAAAATTTGGGGTTTGATACTGATAAACAAAATCCATCCCGGTCCTTGGAAGATAAACACCACCCGAGTGGGCAGCAAAACGTTAACGATAAGTTTCCAAGTACTGGGATAGTCTTAAAACATAATCCAGGCTTGAATCATGATTCCGTTTGTGACTGTCGTTGTCGTTACCCTATGATTACGCTAACAGAAGAGAGTAGGTATTACAACAAAGTTGAAAGTGGTAATGTACCTAACTGTGCTGTGCCTTGCCATGGTCTGTTCCATACAGAAAGTAAACATGGTTTTGCAACTTTATGGCTAGGGGTATGGGCAGTTCTGTGTTGTGTATCCACGACAATAACAGTAACAACATTTGTGGTTGACAGAGATCGCTTCCGCTATCCAGAACGTCCAATAATATTTTTATCGGGCTGTTACCTAATGATTTCTATCGGTTATTTGATTAGGATAGGGCTGGGACACGAAGCTGTAGCGTGTGACGGATCTCTTATTCGATATCAAAATTCGGAAAAGTCGGCTACTTGCACAATAGTATTTCTACTTATTTATTTCTTCGGAATGGCTAGTTCCCTCTGGTGGGTGATGCTAGCCCTAACATGGCTGCTTGCAGCAGGAATGAAATGGGGAAACGAGGCTATTGCCGACTGTTCCCTTTATTTTCACTTGGCAGCGTGGGCGATCCCTGCCCTTAAAACAGTATTAATTTTGTCTATGGATGGAATAGATGGCGACCCAGTAGCTGGCATTTGTTACGTTGGAAACCAAAACATTGATCTTCTAAGAGGATTTGTTCTTATACCGTTATGTCTATACCTTCTTTTGGGTACGTCTTTCCTTCTAGGCGGGTTTGTGGAGCTCTTTCGGATACGAACCGTGATCAGACAACAAGCAAGAGACAGTGTAGACAAACTGGAGAAACTAATGATTCGAATTGGCGTGTTTTCTGTTTTGTACACAGTGCCCGCTACCTCAGTCATCGGCTGTTATGTTTACGAACATGTCTCTAGGGACGAGTGGGAAAGAAAACACAACTGCCCTTGTAGCATCCCTGATGTCAAACCGGATTACTCTGTTTTCATGCTTAAATACTTTATGTTTCTTGTTATTGGTCTTACATCGGGGTTTTGGATCTGGTCTGAGAAGACACTCAGTTCTTGGAAGATATTTTTGGTTAAGCTGTGTAGGATTAGGAGTGGTACAGATCGGTATAAGAAGGATAAGGTCAACATAACTCAGAAAGATCCATTAGCATCTACTTCAAACATGAAACAGTCGACATTGGCCCATATTTAAGGTGTATCCCGCAAAGCAACAACTTGCTACGAAAGTATCAAATCTGAAACCAATTATAAGGCAGAGAGTTTCGAAAATGAATTTTTTTTATAATAGAAATTGATAAAACCTTTTATTTTTCATCAATGTTGTAATTTTGAAAACACACACACACACACAAAAAACACGAAACAAAATCCTTTGGTATGCATTACAAAATACATAAAATACACGTACAAAATACATGAAATACACGTACATCTAAAAACGTGAAGTATACGTTTCTAGGGTTTGTATCTTAAAGTAAGATAATTTGCATAATCTCTCTTGTGTGCTCATTGTCACTGAAGTGTGGAGTAAAGGTAAAACTTCCCAAGACAAAAACTGAACTTTAAGTTGTCAATTTTGCGATATTTACGCAAGTCCTGCGTAAAGGTTTACAAGTATAACAATAACATTCTTAGATCAAATTATGTATATAGTGTTATGTTTTAACCGCCGATAGCCGGCGAAATATTGGTAGTTAACGTTATGTTACTTATGTATGAATACCAAATGGTTTCTTATTAAAATTATATTTTTAATTTATTTTAATTTGAACTAGAAATCATGGTTTACCTATCCTTAGAAAGTATGATCTATTAATTTCTATATTAGGCATTTGAATTTTTTTTCTGTCCTTTGTAAAATAGACATTACTTCAAAATATCCTGTTAAACAATAATGACAAGACATACTTTATACTTAGCCATGGGATATTTCATACTTTTAATTCTTGAACATAATAGAACTTTATATGAATATATTCAAATAGAAACACTGAATTTAGCTTTCACGTATTTTTAATAAACTGGGTTTTATGATTAAATAATTTTATTGGGAACTAATTCATAGCGAGGTGAATGTAATCAGCAAATAGCATTTGAAAATATTGATTTATGTAAAACCCAATCTTTGTTATTCCTGTTCTTAAAAACTATGTCATCATTTTACCATATATGTCCTCAAAACAGTGTCATTATTTTACCATAAATGTCCTCAAAACTGTTATTATTTTACCACAAATGTCCTCCAAACTGTGTCATTATTTTACCATAAATGTCCTCAAAACTGTGTCATTATTTTACCATAAATGTTCTCAAAACTGTCATTATTTTACCATAAATGTACTCAAATCTGTGTCATTATTTTACCATAAATGTTCTCAAAACTGTCATTATTTTACCATAAATGTACTCAAATCTGTGTCATTATTTACCATAAATGTTCTCAAATCTGTGTCGTTATTTACCACAAATGTCCTCAAAACTCTGTCATTATTTACCATAAATGTTCTCAAAACTGTCATTATTTTACCATAAATGTTCTCAAAACTGTCATTATTTTAACATAAATGTTCTCAAAACTATTATTATTTTACCATAAATGTCATCAAAACTGTATCATTATTTTACCATAAATGTTCTCAAAACTATGACATTATATTTCC